TTTTTAGGTTTCTTATGTTGAGCCTTAGATGATTGTCTAGGTGGTGGCTCAACATTATCTTTAGCTTTATTTTTATCAAAACCTATTCCTTCCTTAGAAAAATGCATAGTGTCAAGAAGTAAATTTAAGTCTTTATGAGGAGTATTAAATTTCTTGACCGTGCTCTCAAGTTTAGCGACTTGCTCTTTTAAAGCTTTGCAAGATTCACATTCACTTGAAGAGCTCTCTGGTTTGTCAGCACTTCTCTTACCATAAAATTTATTTTCTTGTTTCAACTTTTCATTATCTTTTTCCAATTTGTCAAAATCATTTTCGAGAGTTGAAAGACGTTTCTTTAAAGATTTGTTGATTTTAGAAGCGCTAACAAATTCATCATAAAGCTCATGAAGTGCTTCTTGCATTTCTTCAAAAGTATAAGAGTCGGAAGAAATGGTACATACCTCTTGAACGTCTTCGGTCTGATCTTCGTGCGCCATGAGGCAGAGGTTGGCGGCTTCCTCCTCTTCCTGATTCGTTGACTCATCCCCGGAGTCGCCTCCCCAAGAGATGTAGGCGCGTTGCTTTTTGAACCCAGGTTTGTCCTTGCCGCCTTTGCTTTTTGGACACCTTGGCTTGATGTGGCCTATCTCACCACAGCCATAGCACTTTGGGGGACCGTCGTGCTTTCTTCCTTTGCGCTCAAATTCCTTCTTCATGAATTTGTGGAATTTCTTGATGACAAATCCGAACTCGTTGTCATCATTGCTTGAGTCACCTTCCACAGTCTCCTTGGTTGCTTTCAGCGCTATTCCCTTCTTCTTTTGTTCATCCAAAGACGGGGTTAGAATAGTAGATTCATTGGTTTTAAGGTTACCTCTTAGCCCGTCGATGGTGACGTTGGAGACTCCGATGGATTCGTAGATTGCATCGGCTTTTGACCTCCATTCGGGTGTGAGACTCCGCAGAATTTTCCTCACAAGATCCTTGTTGGTGTAGGTCTTTTTGAGAGCATGAAGATCGTTGATGATCTTTGAGAACCGGTCGAACATGTCATCGATTTTCTCGCCTTCTTTCATTCGGAACATTTCGTACTCTTGGGTGAGAAAATCGTTCTTGGCTTCACGCACTTGATCGGTACCTTCGTACGTCACTTCAAGCTTATCCCACATCTCCTTGGCGGTTGTGCAACAGGAGATCTTTCGGTAGTCATCGGGGTTGACTGCGCAATATAGCATGTTGATGGCCTTTGCATAGTTTTCAATCTTCTTGATGTCCTCGGCATCAAATTCGTCTTCGGTCTTTGGGACCGTGGTTTCTCCCACTTTCTTCATAGGGACTTCTTCGCCATTTTTGATCACCAACCACAATTGGAAGTTGGTGGAACGAATATAGATTCTCATCCGTTCCTTCCAATAAGAGTAGTTGGTGCCATCAAAGAGTGGTGGCCTAGAGGTAGATTGACCTTCTCCAATTCCTGCATAGAGATTTCTAGAAGAAGAGCCCATGATCGCTTTACTCTCAAACGGTTAAGTTTGGACGCGAGTTAGGCTCTGATACCAATTGTTAGAATAATAGACCAACGCTAGAGGGGGGTGAATAGCGTTTGATCAAAATATCGCAGGAATAAAAAATGAATAAACGAGAAGTAAAGAGAAGAGTAAGAGGCACACCGATTTTACCCTGGTTCACCACAACTTGTGGCTAATCCAGCCTCCCGAGAGACTCTCTCGAGCTACACTACTATCTTGTTAAGCTTACGGGTGCTTAACAAACCGTTACAACTTGAGAATTCGAGTCACACGAACCTCAACGAACCTTCGAAGGAAACAACCCTTCCTTCGAACAACAAGAGAAATACCTTCTCTTGTCAAGTGTCTAAGAACACAAAAAACACTCAAGAACAATACTCTCTTTTTAGAGTGGATATTGAGTAAACTAAGAAGAACGCTCAAGAACACAACACAAGCTTCACAAAAATGGCTCTCAAAAGCTATGAATAATTAAGGAATGGTTTGCAATGAAAGAGTAGGAGTTGTGAAGTAATGTGATGTGTAAAACTGACCCAAACACCCCATTTTATAGTGGAAAAATAGGCTCCAACGGACCAAAACATTTAAGGGGTGATTGGCACAATTTGTGGGATTTCATTAAAATTGGATCTGCTGAAAATCACCTAGACAGCGCTGCCCTAGGCCTGGACATCGCTGTTCTAGGCTTGGTTTTTAAAAATTGGGAAGCAACGGTCATGCCAACAGCGATGTCCAGAAACCCCTACATCGCTGTTTTGGCTGTTGACTTCCAAACAAGGAAAGTTTTAGCCTTAAATTCCTTCCAACGGTCAGGTCCCTACATCGATGTCTATAGCTTGAACATCGCTGTTTAGGTCTGACTCTTGAAGATGGAAGTTTGGCCTGACAGCGCTGTTGCTGGGTCAACATCGCTGTCCAAAAACTTTCTGCCAATGCACTATATTTTTGGCTTAGGTTGGACAGCGCTGTAGGGAAGCCTACATCGCTGTTCCAGAAGTTTCTGGAAAACCAACCTTGGCTCAACAGCGATGTCTAAAGTCCAACATCGCTGTTGGAAGACTTAACGCCAAACCATGTTTTTGGCTACCCAGGCCAGACAGCGCTGTTGATTACCTCAACATCGCTGTTGGGCTTGGTTTAGTCAGACCCATGGTTGGTTTAGTCACGCCGTTAGCCGATGTCGAAAACGCAAGTTCTCCAAAGTAAAAACCAAGTTTAGAAAACATTTGTTCATTGCATTTTGCTAAGAGATCAAGTAAAACTTCTTAAAAATCACGTCATTTAGTTGAAAACCACGGCTAGCCAAGTTCGTGCCGTTTTGCATGGTTTTCACTAAACGACCAAAAACGGAAGATGGTTTTTGAGGCGTTTTTGTTGGAGAACAATTTAAATATGCCCAGAAATAAAAACCAGTCATAAAAAGTTGAAAACCACTTGGTTGGTTTGGACGCAAAAAACGATGCCGAAAGCCGAACGCTGGTTTCTGAAAGCCGAACGCCGGATGGCTTGGTTTTTGGCTTGGGCGAACTCCAAGTGTTTTGACCCAAGTTTGAACTTAAGAAAAGTATTTTTGAACATGTAAAAGAGATTTTTATGAATTAAGCCTAGAGAGCCAAGATTTGGAATTTTGTGCCAGTCTTGATCACATTAAGACCGACTCAATACAACACTAGTTCTTCGTTCTTGATTCTGGGTTCTTGGTTCTCTAGTCATCATGCCATGTTCCTTCGCCTTGGTTTTGCTCACTTTAGCTTTGATATGTCACGGCGGTTTGGCATTATCAAAACCTGTCATAAGAACGAACACAGTTTAGTACGACATAGGCGTAAACCCGTAATCCAACAAGAAGTTTACTAAACTTGCAAAGTTTGCGCCAACTCTGGTGAGTACCCCAAGCGACCGCGTTGAGGAGTTCCGGAAGAAACTTCGACCAGACCTTATATCGCGAGTGTTTATCCTGACCACTGTGGATTTTGCTGCGACCTACGAGATCATAGCTAGGGCAGATAGTGATCTGAGTGCTTGCATAGAGTATCTAAAGACAAACAATATTGGCTCAAGCACTCACCGTCCCACCGGCTCCGTTTCGAAAGGAAAAAGGCCCTTCGAGGAATCCAGTAGTTCACATTTCTCTAAAAAGGGAAAGTCTACACAAACCCAATCAATGACATCCGGTAATTGGACCAAGGGTTGGAAAAATCCACAGTGCGACAAATGCGGAAGACACCACCTTAGGGAATGTTGGTTTATGTTAGCCTTGGTTTGCTAAGCCTCATGTTTTGATGTTAACAAACAATAGGTTGACGTGTGTTTAAGTGTTTCAGGTACAACAAGAATCAATTAAGATTTGGTTCTCAAGAATGAAGTCGAAACACCAAACTAGCGTAGAATTTAGGTAGAAACCGATGTAAGAATATGACTTTATATACCTATATTCACAAGCTCAAATGCACTTACAAAATATGTTTAAAACCATCCCATAAACATTTTCAAATATCCAAAAGGTTTTAAACTCAAACACGAAGGATTACGGGAATTTTGGAAAAATCAGGACAGCGGCACGGTACCCCCAGACGGTAGGGTATACCGCCACACGGTACCCCTATACCGTGATACGGTACCCAGGTACCGTACGGTAGGCCGGAACGGATGGACACACCCATCCTAACTAGGTACCGCCAGAACCGGATGAAGTTTTTGTCCTACACGGTACCGAGGTACCGCCTCTCACGGTACCCCCTACCGTACGCACGGTACCATGATACCGTGTGGACGTTACCTACCTACCGGATCCGTTACAGCACTGTTCCTGATTGCGAAATTTGAATTCAAATCACCCCTAATCACTCCCAACGGCTAATTAACATCTTCCACTATAAATACAAGCCTAATCCTTCATATTTCATAAAAGAAAAAAAGCTCTAAACATCCTCCCTTTATATTTTAAGTGTGTTCATTCTTTTATTAATTATTTCCAACATTTTGGCTATTTCAAGAGCCTTAAATCCCTGATTTTTATACACACACTTTGAGCTTGTGTTTCTAGTTATATACTCTCATATTCATAAGTTTGTATTGTATTTTTGAGAGAGTATAATCTCCTTCTACACCGGCTAAGTTTTGTTCTTCATTTTTATATTCTAGCCGTTGTGTAGAATCCTCTTTTGTGTTTTTCAAACACACCTTCTTACGGCCGAGAATAGCCGTTAAATTCTCACGTTGTAACGGTTAAGGATAGCCAAATAAATCCTTGGGTAAAGGTTCAAGGATAGCCTTTGAAATCCTTAGGGGAACGGTACGAGATAGTCGTTGTAAAATCTCGGAGTTAATCCTATTGGCAAGGGTTGTTTGCCAAACTAGTGCGGTGCTTTGACGGAGTTCAAGAGACCGAGACTTAGTGGATTCGGAAATCCTTAAGGAGGAGCCTTAAGGTACTGGAGTAGGGAGTTCCCGAACCAGTATAAAATCGGTGTGCATTTACTTTACGCTTTTTATTTTTGCGTTTTACTTATTGCTTCCGCATTTGCCAACACCGTTTTTATTTAACTCCGAAAAGATTTTAAAACGCCTTATTCACCCCCCCCCCCTAAGGCGTGGGCACAACGAATAAACCGACTAACAGTTTACACAAGGGTTATGCCTCGGCTGTGGAAAACAAAGAAATTTCAAAGAGGAGTGCCCTACAAATCCCGGAGAACCGTTTCTACCTACCCCCGTTGCTAGCCAATCTGCATCAGCACGACCTGCACCATGTCAACGGTCAAGTGGGGGGATCTAATCCTGCCAAAAGTCAAAACAAACAGCAAGGACGAGCTCCTACCCATACCTACGCAATGAAAGCTCAAGCTGAGGAAAACTCTAACGTCATTCAGGGTATGTTTTCCTTATTTGATAGTCATGCATGTGTTGATAGACCCTGGATCAATGTTATCTTATATTTGTGTACCTATGCCTGAAAAAGCTGACATAATGAAAGAACAATTAGTACAACCTATACTAGTGTCTAACCCGTTAGAACATATTATGAGGTTAAATCATGTGTATCAAGATTGTCCATTGATTGTTGAAAGACATCAGTTCTCTGCCAATCTTGTCGAATTACCTTTCAAAGAATTTGACATCATCCTTGGAATAGATTGGCTCACCGAACACCAAGCAGTTATCGATTGCCCACGACGGACGATTCAACTATAGTCTGAAGAGGGAAAGTCTATAGAGGTGAAAGAGAAGCTAAAACCTAGATCCACTGAATTCATCTCGTACATACACGATAGGCGTCACATTCGAAAGAAATGTGAAGCTTATATGTGTAACGTACGTGACAAACGAAAGGAAACTCCTGAGTTAAAAGACATACCGACAATATGTGGTTTTCCTGACGTATTTCCTGACGAACTTCCTGGTATACCATCTTCCCGAGAAGTAGAATTTTCTATCGACCTTGTTCGTGGAACATGACCGATATCTGCAACCCCCTATCGCATGGCTCCTGCTGAAATGAAAGAGTTGAAGGCTCAACTACAAGAACTGCTCGATAAAAGATTCATACGTTCGAGTGTTTCCCCTTGGGGAACACCCGTTCTATTTGTCAAAAAGAAAGACGGTTCAATGAGACTCTGCATCGATTATCGTCAATTGAAAAAAGTCATAATAAAAAATTGATATCCTTTACCTCGTATCGATGACTTATTTGATCATCTTAGAGGATCCACTGTATTCTCTAAGATTGACTTATGGTCAGGATACCATCAAATACTTGTAAAGAAAGAGCACATCCCGAAGACTGCGTTCCGTACTCGTTATGGTCATTACGAGTTTACGGTAATGACCTTTGGTTTGACCAATGCTCCTGCAGTATTCATGGATCTCATGAATAGTGTATTCCGACCTTATCTTGATCAATTCGCAATTGTGTTCATCGACGACAACCTTGTGTATTCAAAGAATCGAGAAGATCATGCAAAGCACCTGGGGATAGTACTCAATGTACTACGAGAACATAAACTGTATGCCAAACTATCAAAGTGTGAATTCTGGCTTGATGAAGTTACATTTTTCGGACATGTGATTTCTAAAGAAGGTGTTAAAGTGGACCCTAGTAAAATATCTGCCATCACCGAGTGGAAGGTTTCAAGGAATGTTCGTGTAGTGAGAAGCTTTCTAGGATTAGCTGGATACTATCGACGATTTGTTGAAGGCTTTTCCTCGATCGCAACTGCACTTAACAAACGTCTAAGAAAAGATGTGAAATTTGTATGGACCGATGCATGTCAGCAAAGCTTTGAGAAACTAAAGAAATCTCTAACATAAGCACCTCTACTAACACAACCAGTACCAGGTGTAGATTACATAGTCTTTAGTGACGCATCTTATAATGGCTTGGGATGTGTACACTCATGCAAGACGGAAAAGTCGTGGCATACGCATCAAGACAGTTGAAAACCTCATGAATGTAACTATCCCACTTACGATCTTGAGTTAGCAGCAGTTGTATTTGCTTTGAAAATATGGCGTCATTATCTCTTTGGAGAGACGACATATATTCACACAGACCACAAAAGTCTGAAATACCTACTAACTCAAAAAGAGTTGAACCTGAGACAAAGAATATGGTTAGAACTGATCAAAGACTATGACTGTTACATCGACTATCACCCTGGCAAAGCTAATGTAGTTGCGGACGCGTTGAGCCGAAAGATGATAGCCGAGCTGCGAATCCAGCCTACTCTTGAGAACGAAATTCGTGTTGCACAAAAACATGATGACTACTGTTTAAAGACTTGTGAACTTGTCTCTACGGGGGAGAGACAAGATTTCACTGTAATTGATGGAATTTTATTCTACAGGAATCGTTTGGTAGTTCCTAGTGGCGAAGTGAGGGAACGTTTAATGCGTGAGTCTCACGAAACCACTTATACCATGCATCCTAGTAGTAATAAAATGTTCCAAGATCTAAAGAAGACATATTGGTGGCCCACAATGAAGTGGGAAATTTCTGAATTTACAACACGATGTCTGACGTGTCAACAAGTTAAGGCAGAACACCAAGTGCCAAGTGGATTGTTACATCCACCTACTATCCCTGAATGGAAGTTCATTCCAAAATGTGAGAATTTGAGATACTCTTTGCATATTCGTGATATATAGTCTCTGTTGAGATATTTTTGATTAAATAATTGAAACAAAAAGAAAAAAAGAAAAAAAATGAGATGCTGCTGGGTGGAAACAACCAAGAAATGAGCTGCAATGATGCAGAGCCTTTTTTTGGAGTTTTGTTGTCTTCCTCTTGGAGTTGTCAGCTAATATTCCCACTATTATGATTTTTGGCTATTTAATAGCCATGGAACAACACGGCAGGCAGAGGGAAGAAAAAGGCTAGGAGAGGAAGGTTAAAGAGAGAGGTGTTACACAAGATATCACCAACATTGTGTGAGTGAGTGTAGGGAGTAACTGATTTTAGTTACTCGGAAAAATACATCCGGGTGTAGGGTGTGAAAAGTCTGTTTATAAGTGTCTGGTATTTAGCACTTGTAAACAAGGAGAGTTTTTGTGTATCGTTTTGAAATAGTGAAGATATAATTTTTCTCTCATATTTTCTTCTTGGGTAGTGTGTTTATTTATTTTTCACGTTCTTGATATTTTAAGAGTCTTACGCGCTTAAAATCCCAACAATTGGTATCAGAGCCAAGTTACATTTGGGGCGGAGAGATTTCTAAGCGGTAAGAGAAGAAAGTCGAAGAACTTGAAAAATGGCATCGGTGAAAAGTTCGAATGTTTCCGTCGAACCTTTCGATGGACGTGGCGATTTTACATTGTGGCAACAACGAGTAAAAAGTGTTCTTACTCGGGAAGGGGCAATCAAAGCTCTGAAGGTGAAGGTTCAGAGGACAGAAAAAATGACCGATGCTGAGTGGGCCAAACACCAGAAGAACGACAAACCGGAAAAATTGTCGGAAGAAGAGTGGGAGGATTTGAAGGACATGGCAACAAGTACAATATGCCTATGCCTTGCAAATAATACTCTTCGGGAGGTTCTCGGTTTGACGGACCCGGTGGATATTTGGGACAAGCTGGAGAGCCGGTACAAGTCGAAATCATTGACAAGTAGGCTATACTTGAAGAAACGATTGTTTCGTCTCCAAATGGCAGAGGAAGCTAACTTTAATGGACACCTGGATGAATTCAACAAGATTACAACAGAGTTGGAATCCATTGATGTGAAGATTGAAGAGGAGGACAAGGCGCTGCTTTTGTTGGCTTCATTGCCTTCATGTTTTGACAAAATCGTGACCACGCTTTTGTTTGGAAAAGAGACCTTAAAATTTGATGAAGTAGTTGCTGCGTTGTTGGTGAACGAGACTCGGCGGGGTGGCAACGGGGTATCAAATGAGGGTCAAGCTTTGGTAGCAAAAGGAGCTGGTCGGGAACGAGGATGGTCTAAAGAGAGGGGCGGCGCGTCCCAACGCTTCAAATCAAGTAGTAAAAGCTTTCGGTGTTACTACTGCGATGAAGAGGGTCATTTCAAAAGGGATTGTCCAAAGAGGAGGAAGGAAAAGAAGGACGGGAAGACACCCGTGACTGCGGTTGCAGAAAGTTCGAACCAAGCAAGTGAAGAAGACTTGTTTTTGGCAACCACAAAGAGTCTAGGTAAATCGGATTGGATATTAGATTCGGGTTGTTCGTTTCAAATGTGTTCAGTTAAGGAACAGTTTGATACGTATCAAACTTGTGATGGGGGTGCTGTGAAGATGGCAAATGGTGCACGGAGAGAGATTGCAGGGGTCGGAATAGTGCAAGTTCGCATGTTTGATGGCGTGGTGAGAACATTAACTGGAGTGAAACATGTACCGGGTCTAAAAGGAAATTTGACTTCATTGGGGGCTTTAGACTCAGAAGGCTACCGAATTTTTGCTCAAGGTTGAGTGTTAAAAATTTCTAGGGGAGCAATGGTGGTAGCAAAAGGAGTTTTGTCAAAGGGCTTGTATAAACTTGTAGGAAAAGATTAGACACGGAAGTTGTCAGAAGGAAAAATTACAAGTGCAACGAGCGGAGCATTTGCATGGAAGAAGCGGGTGACATTTAAAGTTTCTCCCGCTGGTGGAAGCTGTGACCACGCCGGAACGAGCGAGGTGGAGCTGAACCAAGTTTTATTATTTAATCAAGGTGGAGTTTGGTGAGATATTTTTGATTAAATAATTGAAACAAAAAGAAAAAAAGAAAACAGAAAAGAAAAAAATGAGATGCTGCTGGGTGGAAACAACCAAGAAATGAGCTGCAATGATGGAGAGCCTATTTTTTGGAGTTTTGTTGTCTTCCTCTTGGAGTTGTCAGCTAATATTCCCACTATTATGATTTTTGGCTATTTAATAGCCATGGAACAACACGGCAGGCAGAGGGAAGAAAAAGGCTACGAGAGGAAGGTTAAAGAGAGAGGTGTTACACAAGATATCACCAACATTGTGTGAGTGAATGTAGGGAGTAACTGGTTTTAGTTACTCGGAAAAATACATCCGGGTGTAGAGTGTGAAAAGTCTGTTTATAAGTGTCTGGTATTTAGCACTTGTAAATAGGGAGAGTTTTTTGTGTATCGTTCTGAAATAGTGAAGATATAATTTTTCTCTCAAAAAGTCAAAACGGCTATTTCCTAAGACAACGATCTCTTGATTAACTTCCAAAGAGTGAAACATTAAAGAAAGAAAACCTACGATTAGTAACGGTAATTCGCAAATGCTATCTTTGTATCTTGTGACTCATATCCTTGAATTACTCAAACTTGTTGTGTTAACTATACCCTTGAAACATCTTACTTGATCAATATTGAAAAGATTAAATTCCATTGCTTGTATCAAAATATTGAACCATGGAAAAATTATCCTAACTCACAATTTTCCATTGAATCCAGAAGATGCTTTAGGATACCGATTTTCGAGAACTATACTTTGTGAACTACGTGACTTAATCACAATAGTAAAACTACCCTGACTTGAACATTATGTCGAATCTCTCTTTGTGAACTACAAAACGGTTGGTGCAATTGCGTTATCTATGAAGATTATTATCGATGATGAAAAAATTGTGAGAAAGACATTTGAACGAATAATTACAAAAGAATGTTTTACAAACTCTTTGATGCTAATGCGACGATATAAGTTTTTGACAATGTTATACAAAGTATCTTTTAAAGATATTCGTGAAAAAAAAAAGAATTTGTGTTTCTTAAGACACATTGAGCTAATGAAAAATTATTGGCAAAACTTTTTTTTTAAAAAAAATCTATAAATCTACTTGACACGAATCTCAGCTAGAACAATTTGAAACACGATCTATTTGTCAGCCGTAGGCCCGTAGTCCACTTATCTTGAGTGAAAATACATCATTGTTTACTCACCAAAACAAAAGTACAAAACAACCCTTTGTCAAAAAAAACTTTTATACTCCGTAACAAATGTGTTGTATTCATCATTTTTTGAATTGCTTTTGTCCTAAGTTGCTATTCAAGTAAAATTAGTGTTAAAAAGATCTTTTTCTTTTTCTCAATTTTGGTTATTTACATATTATCAAGATGATGAAAAAACTAAATGTATAAACCATCTTAGGTTGGCATGGGTGGCACGACACCTTTGTCCCCTTAAGCAACAGATCCCAAAAGGAAGTGATGTTGTGTATGGAGAAAACCTGAGTTGGAAGAGCAAACCTCGTTTTGGACCGTACGAATATCGTCCATAACCAGTTTAAAAAGAAATAAAAAAAAAGAGCCGACACCATTGAGCCAAAAAGAAAAAAAAGGCAATAAATGGCTAGGTTAAAATCGAAAAAATATCAAAAAATGAATAAAATTATTGTTTGAGCACTCGAGTTGAGACCCTCGGAATACTTCGTTTATTTAGGTCTCGGGCTATCTGGAATGGACCCGGGGTAGCCTGGTTGAGACTCGCTACACGGGTCAACTCAAACAATTAAAATTATATATTGAATGAAAACAATAAATATAAGTTTACAAATTTTGGAAAAGAAAATAAATTTCTTGAGCTTTCCTTTACTTGAGTGTTTCTTAGGATTTCAAACCAATTTTTGCTACTCTATAGATTTCTTTTAAATTGTTCTCAATGGCTTTAATTAATTTAAGAGTTTGACATTACATAAAAATAATTTCTACTTAGCTTTGAAGTAAAAGAATTGTTTTAAAACTTAAAGTAGTAAATTGATTTTTAAAGTGTTTATTCTATTTGGTACATGGTTAATTTTTAGTTAGTGTTTCATGCAACACTTTAGATTGTTTCAAAGGAGAGAAATTATTGTGGGTTCTAATTTTAAAAAAAGGAAAAATTATGTAGGTATTCAATTCAGATTTTAAAAAGTTATTTAAAATCTGGATGTATTCAATTGAGATTTTAAAAAGTCTTTCCAAATATGATAGTATTCAAAAAGTTGATAGATTTTTAAAGATTTTTAAAAATGTAGATTCTGATGGATTTTTAAGCATTGGGTATAAATATAAATGCATTCCCAAATCTCACCCAAAAACCAAAGATTTTATAAAATCCTTCTGCCTACTTCTTCTTCGGCCGTTTCTTCTTCTTCAACTTCATCGGACGTTCTTCTTCTTCACTGCACCTGCACTTTTTCTCTCTCCATTTCTCTATCCGCTGCACGAGGCGACGGGTCGCCTCCTCAATTTCTACGGACCACTGTAGAAGCTCTCTCGGATTCCGGCTACACCGCCATGTCTCTCACAATTCAGCTCATAGCCGATTCCGATCTCTTCTTCCACTCCGACTCCATAACCAACTTTACTTCCACCGTCACAATCTTCACTCCGCCCAAGTAGGTTGTATGGCTTCTATTGTTTCCTCTATTATTAATAAATTGTTCAACTGTGTTGATGAATTTTTTTAATCATTTTAATAGGTTTTGTTGACAAACTCTATTATTTTTTCTGTAAATAGAACAAATAAGAGATAGTGTGAGGGTGAGGTGGGTAGAGGGTGAAGCTCCATTGAAACTTTTTCTCAGAAAGTGTCGAGCTCCTAGTGCAGTGACGGAAGAGATCTATCTTCTTTTCAATTTGAGGAAAGTCTTTTTTAACAAATCACACAAAATCCTTTAAAATCATATCGATAAAATACATTACAATCTATCTAACTCTGTGTAGAATTAAAACAATCCATGAATTTTACATAATCCATGTATATTAAAAAATCTTTCAAAATCTTTTAAAATCTAAATTGAATACACCCCCTAAGTGTGGGGTATTTGTTGAGTCACAAAATGTTATATTTTATTCCCTCCTTTCTGAGTACTTTTAAGACAATTAATATGCATTTTATACTCAAATAAGCTTGTTTTGTTCTATTTAGCATTTTAGGCTATTGCTTACATTTTATACATAAAATGCATGATTTTGAGCATTTTATATTCTACAAATATCTCATGGTATGATTTTCTTTTACATGAATATTTTTAGATATAATTTGGTGGCTAAAAAGTTGAGGAAGACAACAGTCAAATGATAGAGTTCAAAATTGGAGTCAAAATGGAAAAAAAGAATACTAATTGGGCCAAATCAAATAGTTGATCCTTTTAGTTTCTTTTTTTACTCACGGAAACGAAGAGAAACAACAAAAAGATAATGAAGAAAGTAAAATAAAAAGGGAAAGTGGGAAACAATTCGTGCTTGGCGCAAGAAGGATCCTTCTCCAACTCAAACAAGGGGGAAATAGAGTTCTAATTCAAGAAGGGAAGCTGACTTCTAAATCTATTAAAGGAGGACATGGACAGAGACCGGAGACGAGCGAAACAGATCGAAGCAGAGGGAAAGAAGACCCGGCGTAGGGTTCCGACCCTAGGTCCAGCGACGGCAATTACGCAGCGTCCGGCGGCAACGGTAGAACGGCGGCCATGTTTTGGAGCAGCAACTAGCTTGGCTCTGGTTCTGGGCTTCTGTGCACCGTGCAAAGAAGACACTTCGAGGGAACATTACTTTTACTTTTCAATTTGATTTTCTATGAATTAGGATCATGAATTTGTTTAATTTCAAACTTGATGAATTTGATTTCCAATATTAAATACTTGGTCGGTCTCTGAGTGTTTGTCTACTTTTGACTTTTGGAACTGTTTATCGAAGCATTTTGACTCATCAAATTCTCTTAATGTGTAAGCCTAAAAGTAATCATGTGTAATCTTGTTTGATTCGTCTTAACATATAGATTATTCATATATAATTTTTATAATTTTTTAATATACAAATTACAAGATAAAATGGATTAAAGAAGTGCATTGGATGGTGTGCAAAAATGAAAGTGGACAAATACTCATTGGATAGAGTATGTTTGATGGGACTAACCTGATCAGATGGCGGACCAAGAACGTAATATGAATCAGAAAGATATAATCTCGTAATAATATTCTTTGATTAAGTGTATAATTGCTTGGGCCCTCCCTCTACAATGGCAGGTTCTTTCCCCTTTTATAGTACTCCTAATATTGTAATTAAAAATTTACATAATGGGAGGGATTATGGAGATCATGGGGTAGTGATTCCCTCTTTTCCGGTCTCGTTCTCTTCCCATCTCGTCCACAATCTGGTGGTATGGGTCACGTGTCCCGTTCCTTCTTCAGACTGGGTCATCTTAATTCAGCCCATGATTGGGCCGTCCTTCCTTATTCGCCATACGCGTCTTAGTGGGCTTAACCCGCTACTCGTGCCTGGCCTTGTCCATTTCGTACTATTTGTGGGCCTTTATTGGGCCTGGAGTCGGGTCCATCAGACCCGATATCCATCACAAGCCTCCTAGTTTTCTGGCGATGTGTCGCTAGAAAACTAATGATGAGCCGCCTTCGGTTTTTGTGTCGGATTAGAAACGTCGCACTCGAGTGCCTTGGGTCCCTCCTTTCAACGGATATAACCACTTCTGGACTCATATTCTTCCTCCTTCGCCGCCGAATCTTGACCCGATTCGAATTCTGATTGCAATTGCCCTCAAATTCTCGTTCTCTTCTCCGAAATGGCCCCCTCTGCAGATCCCGCAACCTGGACTCACGAACCCTCTATCATCAAAGAGGATGAACTTCGAGAAGTGGTCGAATGTCTGGGCAGAGGCTTCCGGGTCCACCATCTCAATGCTGTCGGGGGTATCAGCTTATCTCATAACCCAAACCCCTAGAAGTATATGGTCATGCACTATCACTCTGTGGAGAACGGGTTCACATTACCCCTTCATGGCTTGGTTCGTGACATTTGCCGCCATTTTGGGTTCGCCCCCGTCCAATTGACTGCAAACGTGCACAAGTATGTCGCGTCCTACATCTTGCGGTGCTGTGCCCTAGATGGAACCCCAACACTAGACGAATTCCTCGTCCTTTTCAGCATTGGTGGGCTTTTTCCTTATTACAGCCTGTTTCCTCATCCCCAAGCTCCAATTTTTGAAAGGGTTGAGTTTAAACACGACAAATGGTCCCACCGCTACTTCGTTATTGAGTTCCCGGTTCATAGCCCCATAGATCTGCCGGGTGTTGTACACCGTAGTTCTATTTCCCGGACAAAGTTCGCTGCAGTACCCCTGGCGGAGGAAGCATACAATGTCTTGAGAGAGGAAGGGGGTTTGATTCCACATCACTCCCTTCAAGATGCCCGGTTGTACAAGAAGGCTGATTTTTACTACCCCGTGGGTCCTGACCCCATTCCGGTTGAAGGGGTGTCTTCCCCTGAAAGGTCAAAGGCTCCTCGTGTTGTGGAATCAAATCTAGTCTAGAGCTCTTTCGGGAGCCAGGCCCAAGGTAACTCCACTGCCTTGGCTATTCGCAAGCCGGCTGCTGCCCTAGAGGCTGTCCACATCTCTGCTATTCCTGGGCTGAGGAAGCCCACTCCGTCCCAGAAACGGCCACGGGTAGGGGTCACTGATGATGACTTTCTTCCCAAGAAGAGTAGGGGTGATGGTACTTCTGCTTCGCCCAGCCCCTTGACTCCTTTTTCTGGTACCCTTAATACCACTCCGATCGCTGCATCCGGAGGTTTGGAGTTACCCAACCCGGATAGCTTGGATCATGAGGCAGATGAACTTCCTGACCAAGCACCACTCAAAAGACCGGCGGTGCAGCCTCATCCTAAGGTGAACAATACCTCCCCACCAACTGCAACTTCTCCCCAAGGGGTAAAGGAAGGAGTTGAGAGACAGAAGGAACCGGAGGCTTCCCCTGCAACAGAGAAGGAGGTTGGAGTGCAGAAAGAACTGGAAGCTTCATCTACGATGGACAGAGAAGTTGAAGGGCAGAAGGATACGGAAACTTCCCAGAGACGGAGAGAGAGACTGAGAAACAACCACAGCCGGAGGGACAGTGTTCCACTGCAACACCTCCAGCCTTCAATGTCCCCATCCGGCGCAAGTTAACGCCGCAAATCTACCTTGCCTTCAAGGAAGTTTGGGAAGGGTTTTCTCGCGGTTTAAACTCTGCCTCCCACTGGACCTGGATGAAGATGAAGGGATCAATGCAGGAGCCCTTAATTCCCGAGGCGCGCCCTGACTTGCTTGCCCTCCATGCCTTGCATTCCATGGAACAGGTACTCGTTTCCTCCAAAAACTTCTTCATTCCTTTTTCAATTATCTCCTTTTTGACTTCCTTCTTTCGCTTCCAGGCCCAACAATCTCTCCTCACCCTGACTTGAGGAATATCTGGGCGGAGCATGGGGGAATTATCGGGCCGTGGTGGTCCTGAAGGAGAAGGAGTTGGCCGCCAAGGCTCTGTAACAGAAAGTTGATACCCTGGAACAACAAGTCCAGGTCTTTCAAGAAGAGAATGCCCGGCTCAAGGCAGGTGGCTCAGTGGAACTAGCAGCTGAAAGGTCCAAAGTTAAATCCCTGCAGGAGCAGATTACCACCTACCAAGGGACCACCCAGGACCTGGAGGTACAGTTCGATGGACTCCGGGCATAAATCTCCAACCTGGAGTCTAAGGTCTCAGCCTTGGAAGACAAAGGGGGGGAGTCTGAAAGCTGAGCTGGTTGAAAGGGAATCCCGGATCTCTGGGCTGGAGATTTCACTCCATAATGCCAAGCAAGAGGGTGCCCATTTTAGCGATCTTGTGGTGAAACAGATGGGGGCGAAACGGCTCGCCCTCCAGAAGTTGGAGAAGGAGAAACAGACTACTAGAGAGCTCCAGTCAAGAGTGGGAGAGCCTGAGAAGACCATATCTTCTCATCAAGAGGAGATGGCTGCCATGACCGCCCGTGCTGAGGCCCTTTACGAAGAAGGGAAGTTCGATATGCAACACTGCATCTATGAAGCGATCTAGAGCGGCCTCCCAGAACACTGATCCTTGGATGACTTCATCTCTCACTATGGCCTGCCTCTTCCTCTTACTCCCCCAGATTCTCGTACCAGTCCGGGGTCTTGATTCCCCTGTTTTCAAATCAATTGTAACTTTTATTCTGTAAAATTTAACTAGTAGAAATTTGACCATGCTTGCTGTATTTTCGTCCTTGTAGACTCCTTCCATTAAGCTAACTGTTCTCCTTTTGGGATTCTTATCTCTCTTTAGGACTTAGCGGAATTCTTTTATCCGCCTAGGCTTTGGGCTTAACCATGTTTACAAAGTGCTGTTTTTTTACTGAGCTAAGCGAATGGCCGACCTTAATTACGCGCCGGGCCCAATTCATCTCAGCCCAATGGTGAAACGGTGCAACCCTAGCTTTCCTCAGGAATCCGCAACCGCTTCCCAATCGGATAAGTGCTTTGACTCCGCGTCCCTTGCACTTCTCCCTTAAGATTACTCGCCTATTTAAGGGGCTAGGCTGAACCCCTTCACCATCACAATCAAATTCTCAACATGGGTAATAACGCCAACAGAGTCGTCTTTATTGATCTAACTATCTCCGATTCTTCTTCTGATTCTTCTTCCTTGGCGTTTCCCTCACTTGAGGCCCTGACACCTGAACTCTCTTCCGGGCCTTCCATTGCCTCTGAACAATCGGTGACTTCTCCCTTGCCCAAGGAGGAGAACCATCCTCATCTCCCCCAACAAGTATCAGGGGGTGTTCATCCAAATTCTGGCGTGCTTCCTAACGGTGCCAGGACAGGAGTTTCTTCTGGCTGTCCAGGTACGTCCCGTCCACAGAAGAGACGCAATCCTCACTCAGGAGCCTCCCGGTTGGTCTCCGGTGCAAGGCCTTCCTCCCAGGGTTCTCCCTCCCCTCAGCAGTTATATGGACAGCAGTCTGAAGAATGGGGGGATTATGACATGGGGGGAAATAGGCTCCCGTTTATACGCAGGGAAAAGGACGGAACCTTCCCGGATCCGCCTCCACCTTCTGTATAGGCGGAAATAAGCCATAAGTCCTTCCCTCATGCCTCCACGTCCTCCTTGCCCGTCTTCATGAGGGTGGCTGGATGGTGTCCACGGGGGGCATGCTTTTCAATCCCAACCCGTTGGTACCATTTCGCATTCTTTTCAATGATGCATCAAGAGGGACGGTGGGCTATCTCCACACCTCTCCGCTCCTGGCCCCTTTTCTGGCTCAGGCATGGCAGCAAGGGTCAGCGAATGCACTCTCCTTAGATTCCTAAAGTGCCGACTCGCCCAGCCTTCAGATTTTTCCAGTAGTAGGATAGAAGTAGATCAGGGACAAAGCTCATTACTGTAACCCAAAAGAATGTAATCTTTTGTTTGAGTTATTTAATGAAAATCTTTATCTCCCGTCTCTTTAGTGTTTTATTGTTAGATGAGGGATAAGGTCCATTGTTGTAACCCAAAAGAATGTAATTTTCTATTTGAGCTATTTAATGAAAATCTTTATCTCCTGTCATTTAATATAATTATGTTGTGCGTGCCGCCATCTGCATGAAGTAGAAGTCTGTATGTGTTTAACTCCTTACCTTCCAAGGATGACATCTTTCCCAAAGCGCAGATGGGCCCAATCAACTGGCCCATGCACTTAAGTGGCGAAACTCTGGTCAAATGGGAAAGGATAGTTTTAATGCTGGTTCCATCCCCTTCTGATTTCCTCGCCATGGAAAATAAATCTCAAAGTAAAGTCTTCATCGACTTAACCCTTTTTGAGACATCTTCTTCTTCAGATGACAATTTCCCTACCTCTCCGGCTCAATCCAACGACATGGCTGGGTTGAGTCCTGGCGAGTTCTCAAGACTTTATCCAGCACCTCGTCTTCCTACGACATCACCTCCCAGTCCACCCAGGCTTCCATCCGGGAGGATAGATTGGGACTGTATGACCCTCCAAGACTTCGCCTTGTACCAGAGGATGCGTAGGGCTAAACTCGGGCGTTCTTTTCTGATTGTCGAGGCACAACCTTCATGTGAAAGCCGGACAGCCTCTCCAAACTTGGTGAAGTCTCCCAATGATGGTTCTTCATTGGGAGCACCAGCTCCTCGTCCTGGGACGTGGGAAGACTATGACATAGAGGAAGCTGCTGATTCCGTCGCGTGCCCCTCGTCGAAGAGAAGGAGCCCATGGAGGGGGCCCCACCTTCTTCTTGTTTAATGTTTGGATGCAATTGGCCCTCCTTTAGTGCCTAGTCCCCTGCAAATCAATTTTCCTTTTCTTGTTTTATTTCAAGAGGCATTCACTTGTTTGGTCCAGGAGTTTTTCCTGCGTCCCATACTAAGGAATGTCCTTTAATTTCAGATTAGGAATTATCATTGTAATTCAAAGATACAACCTTCGAATTAGCAATCGATGAACTTCCCTATTTTCTGATTTCTTTCATCTCATTAGGAACCATTATTGTGAACCGAAAGTGTAAACTTTGGCCCATCAATGTAGTCCTTTATGTTTATTTCTTTGCACTTTATCTAATGCAAGTACAAACATATTTCATTCTCTGTATAAAATCTCATCTCCCGGGGTTTAGACGTGCCATGGGAGCTTACCTCATCTGCCCATGACCTCCTTTCCTCCGGGTTAAGGCATAATCTTATTTACCTTGGATCAGTTGAGCCCCATCCCTCGAAGTTTGTTTGCTCAGTTGATCTGTGCTGGTGGAATACTAAGATTCAGCCCTCGAAGTCTGTTTGCTGTTCTTCCTGAACTCCGGATTGTAAAGGCCCTCAAAGTCCAATCCCAACCCTTCCTTCATTTTTGACGGAGGCATAAACTTATCTACCTCTGGGGGATATAAACTTATCTACCTCCCCTATTTTTAGCAGGTGGCATAAACTTATCCACCTCCTTGTAATGTGGGTCTATTTTGCATGGGGGTGTTCTCCCCCCTCTTTTTTTGAAGAAATCTACAGAACAATGAAATTGCAAAGGCACTTGGCTTTAAAGGAAAGAAAATTTTATTGAAACAAATATCCTAAACCCAAAAGTAGAGTGCTTTACAAAACAATTTTATAGATAAAATTTGACCGAGTGCTCTACATTCCATGTCCTATCAATTTCATTTCCCTTTGGAGTCACCAACTTGTAGGTACCTGGGCGAACAATGGCCTTGATGATATAAGGTCCTTCGTATTTCTTAACCAGCTTCCCACCCTTTGTTGGTTGACTTTTCTCTCGCTTCCTCAGGATGTAATCCCCCACCTGGAACGTTCTCGGTTTCACCCTACTGTCAAAGTAAGATTTCACTTGGCGACGATAATTCTCTGCCCGGATCCGCACTTCATCTCTTCATTCTTCTATGAAGTTCACCTCTACGGCCTGATTCTGTTCGTTCTCTTCCGGTTCATATTCCATTTCTCTCTTGGTAGGGATCACCGTCTCAGCTGGAGCTTGGGCTTCGAAACTATAGGCTAAGCCAAAGGGAGTGTCGCCCGTAGCCGTCCTTAGAGTTGTTCTGTACGTCCACAGGATTCTGGGTAGTTCATCCACCCATTTGCTTCCTTCTGAAAGCAGCTTCTTTTTTATTCCACTTATGATTGTCCTGTTGACATTCTCCACCTGTCCATTAGCCTGAGGGTAGGCTAGAAACACTTTTGTATGCTGAATTCCTCAAGTTTTGACGAAGTCTTGGAACTCTGCCTCCTCAAACTGAGTTCCGTTTTCAGATATGATCTGTTTCGGGACCCCAAACCTACAAAGTATGTTGGTTCCCACAAAGTCTATCATCTGCATCTCGGTTATCGCGGCAAGTGGTTCAGCTTCCACCCACTTGGTAAAGTAGTCAATGGCCACCACTATCCACCTTGCCTGTCCAACCCCTCTTGGCAGGGCTCCCACGATATCGATTCCCCACCTGGAGAAAGGGATTACAGAGAAGATGGGCGTGTAGTTTGTGGATGGTCTCCCGGGCACATTCTGGAACTGTTGGCAAGTTGGGAATTTGCGCACATACTCCTCGCAATCCTTCCTCATTGTTGGCCAGAAATATCCCTAGATTATCGCCCTCCTCGAGATACAGTATGGGCTCTGATGTGCAGCACATACTCATTCGTGTATCTCTTCCATAAGCATCTTTGCCTCTGCTGCCCTGAGACAGTGGAGCAAAACGGCGTTGTTAGACCGCTTATAAAGGACTCCATCTTGCACCTTGTAGGTGGGTGCTCTCATTCGCAGCAACCGAGCTTCTTGGGGATCCTCCGGAGCTCCACCGTCTTCAATGTATCTGGCTAACTTGTCCAATCATTCCGGAGGATCGGCTGACACCCAGAGCACTTCGTCCCTGTTAAGGCTTGGGGTTGCCAACTCTTCCTCCGTTTCTAATTTGCTTATATTCTCTGGTGACTCTGCGCTAAGCTTGGACAGAACATCAGCTTCCGCGTTTTGCGCCCGGGATATGTGCTCAAGCTTATACTCGAACCTTCCCAACATATCCAAGGACAAGTCTCGATACCTCTTCATCCTTTCTTCCTTTGCTTCGAACTCCCCCGTGATTTGTCCCACAACCAAGCGGGAGTTGCTGTATACTTGAACCCTGGACACTCCCAGCTTGCCAAGAATTCTCAGTCCATTGATCAGGGTCTCTTATTTGGCTTCATTGATGGATACGCGGAACTGAAATCTGATGGCGTAATATATCCGGAAATTTTCCTGAGTGATCAAGACAATACCTGCTTCGCAAGATCCAGAAGATCTGTCAATACTCATCACCCACCAGTCGTCTTCCACCTGGGTCCCGGCCTGGGCTCTTGTCATCTCCCTGGTAGTGCACTCAACCTGAAAGTCGGCGAGTGCCTGTCCTTTGATTGATGGACGCAGCCTGAACTCCACATTGTACTGACTGATGAAGACCGCCCACTTGGTCATCCGAGTTGAAGCCGCCGGGCTCCGGGTAAGTGACGCCAAAGGCTCATTAGTGAGCACAACAATCCGGTGAGCCTGAAAGTACGGGGTTAATCTCTTCGCCGTCCAAAAACCGCTAACATGGCCTTTTCTGGACGGGAATAACTTAACTCTGCATCTCTCAAGGTGTTGCAGACTTAGTAGACCGGATGTTGGGCCCCATTCTCTTCCCTCACAATCACAGTACTGATGGCACAATCTGCAATTGCTATGTATAGAGTCAGGACATCTCCAGGTTCCGGCTTGGATAAAACCGGAAGACTTACCAGATATCTTTTTAATTCTTGAAATGCTTCTTGACATTTTGGCATCCATTCGAAGGTCACCCTCTTCTTGATCACAGTAAAGAATGGGTGCGCCTTCTTTGCCAGCTTTGAAAGGAAACGATTCAAAGCCGCCAATCTCCCTGTCAGCCGCTGGACTTCCTTCGCCGTCTTCGGTGGTTCCATCTCCATGATGACCCTAACTTTTTCCGGGTTTGCCTCAATCTCTCTCTGGCTAACCATGTGCCCGAGGAATTTTCCACCCTGAACAACAAAAGTACATTTCTTCGGATTCAATCTTAAATTTACCTTTATCATGATTTCAAAGACCTCTTCAAGGTCCCAGACGTGGTCTTGGGCCTCTTTGGACTTGACAATCATGTCATCAACATAGGCTTCCATAGTTCGCCCTAAGACGGCTTTGAACACCTGTGAAACCATCCGGGTGTATGTTGCGCCGGAGTTTCTCAGTCCAAATGCCATCACCAAGTAATAGTATAGCCCCTCCAGGGGTCATAAAACTTGTCTTCTCAACATCGGCTGGGTGCATCAGAATCTGATGGTAGCCACTGAAAGCGTCCATGAAGCTCATTAACTCTGATCCGGCAGTCTCATCCACCATGTGGTCAATGTTGGGGAGTGGGAACAGATCCATTGGGCATGCCTTGTTCAAATCCGTGTAGTCGACGCACATTCTCCACGAAGGAGGCTTAGGCGCCAGAACTACATTCGCCAACCAATCCCGGTAGTGCACCTCCCGGATATGTCCAATTCTCTACAAGGTTGCTACCACCTTCTTCACGAAATCTCTCCTTTCCTGCGACAAATGCCTTCGCTTCGAAATCTCACCTGTTTAGCATCTCGCAGGACATTAAGGCGATGAACTGCAATCTTGTGATCCAGCCCTGGCATATCAGCTGGACTCCATGCAAAGACCTTCCTGAACCTTCTAAGGACTGAGATCACTCGCCACCTGAGTTCAGCCCCCAGGCCCTTTCCAATTCTGACAAACCTCCCCGGCGTGCCCGGCTCCAGTTCAACTTCCTCAATGTCTCCTGCAACTTCTACTCTGGGATGTCTCTCCTTGGCCCTTAAGAGCTGTGCAATCACCTCCCCCACTTGGGTGTCGTACTTGATAGGCTGTTTAGTTGCCTTCAAATACCAAGCCCGGGACACTCTCTGGGATCCCCTGGCTATTCCAACTCCGTGGGGGGTTGGGAACTTTATGCACAGGTGACGAGGTGAGATGACGCACTCCAAATCTTCTAATCCGGGTCTGCCTAGAATGATGTTGGTATTGGAGATTATCCCTGATATGCACATATTTTATACACTTTTTAGGCATATTTTGAAGGAGTTTTGAGTCCCAATTGAATTTAATATTTATATTTTATTTCAATTTTCCGTTTTATTTTGGTAGAGCAGTCCTATGCTTGGTTTTATATGTTTTGCAGACATTTTGAGGTCATTTGGATGCATTGAAGATAATTGCAAGGACGGAAAATAAACATTGATGTTTGGGACCAAAATAAATGGAAGAAATTTGAAGGAATGAAGGAATTAAACAAAAATAAAAGCCCTGGGATTCAAACTTTGGACTTGCAGCATGTGGAACCGGAGCTTGGACCATCGCGCCGAAGCTGATTATTCGGAAAAGGACTGGCGAACACGGATAATGTTCTGAACTGAAAGTCGGCCATTGATTGAGAGAGGAAAAAAAAAGACAAAACACCGACACTAGAGGGAATCAAACACAGGATCACGCGGCACAACAATCATCCCCAATTCCATGTGCGCTACTGTGCTTGTGTTGATTAAAGTGGGACTGTTTGTATATATTCCGTATATACGAATTCATCTATAAAAACCCAACCCTTCTCTTCTTCAAAGAGGTTGGAACCCCCCATTTCTCTCCTCTCTCCCATCCGAAATTCTCCTCCTCCATCACTAATATCTCACCATTTTCTTCATCCAAACACATAAAAATTACTCCATCTTCATCATCATTTATCATATTTGGAGCTCAAGAACACATCTTCCATTTTGTAAGATTTTTACTATTGTAATAAATATTTACTCCCTCCGTCCCACTATGTTTGTCCACTTTCATTTTTGCACACCATCCAATGCACTTCTTTAATCCATTTTATCTTATAATTTGTAGATTAAAAAATTATAGAAATTATATATTAATAATCTATATGTTAAGACAAATCAAACAAGATCACACATGACTATATTTAGGCTTACACATTGAGAGAATTTGATGAGTCAAAGTGCTTAGATGAACAGTTCCAAAAGTCAAAACTGGACAAACATAGTGGGATGGAGGTAGTATTTGTTTAAGCTTCAAACTATGAACTTCTAAATTCCATTGGGGTTAGAAGTTGGTGTAATTAATTGTCCATCAATTACAAAACTTATAAAATTTGTACCTAACAATTAAAATAAAAATGAATGATGTTGTATTTAAAAATAAATAAATTTGAAATGTTTGTGATTTTTAATTAAGGGCCCAATCATAAACATAATTGTTACAAGGAATATGAACTAAAATTGATATAATCATAAAATAGAACACTTTTTAAATACACCGTAAGCCTTCTCTTCCTTTAACCGGGATTGAAGACTTTCGGGTGGAAATAATTATTGAGTTGTATTTTTACACCATTAAATTGGGTAAACATACAATAAAATAATTATGGTTGCCATTGTTACTAAATAATTACTCCGGATTTATCATTAGCGTGTTAAAGTCGGAGTAGTTATTATTTAGGTGAACTGCGAGAGCGTCCCTAAATACTTTTCTGCAACTCCACACATTCTATATAAAAATAAATTGACAATCCAACTTTTATAAAAACATTGGATAATTAATTTACCAATTTCTACCCCTAACTTTTTATCATTAAAAACTTTGTGTTGTTTGGAACTCTCTTCTTTTACACTTTTTATTTTATCTTTAAAACTAAAAAGACAAAAATATCTTACAACTTCTTTTGTAAACTTTTGTTTAAATTAAATTAACTCATGTCTCCCTGAGGTTCGACACCCTACTTACAAGGGATTCTTTTTAGTTGTTATTTTTGCCCGTTCTATACTGCAAATCAACTTGGCGCCGTTGCCGGGGAGACGGTTTGAGTTATTTTTTTTCTAAACATAAGTTTTATTGTTTATTTCTTGTAAATATTTGTTTTCTTTTCCCTAACCTCTTCTTGCAGGTACTAAAAAAACAAAACAAAAAAAACACACAAAAAAAACCAAAAAAAAAACTAAAAAAAATAATAACCAAAAAAAAGTGAAGAAAAAAAATTCCTTTGAGTTCCTTTACTCTTGAACACTTATTGGACTCGGACATATTGACTTGGACATATTGGACATACCTGGACATATTGAACTATCCCACAGGTCGGATTTTCCGCCAATGGTGATTAGACATTTTTTTTCTTCTTTATTTTGCCCGCTGACTGGCAAAGCCGTCACAGGGTTTGTACATTTAATTACTGCACTTTACATTTCTGCAATTTTTTTTCTCTTTCTTTCCAAGCGTGCAAAGCCGCTATTGGACATATATCTATATATATTATATATTATATCTAATATATATTATATATTATATATACTATATATATTATACATATTATATATTATATATTATATTATATATATATATATATATATATTATATATCTATATATTATTACTAACTCTTTTTATTTTTTTTAGTGTCCTCGTTGGTTTATTACCGCTTGGCACTCTAACCGCTAACTACTAACTAAGGTATCACTTGTCTCGGTGGTTTTTACCTCTTGACTTAAGTGAGAACCTTTTTATTAATTTTTGCACATTACATTTTTTTTCTTTTCCTTTTCCCCTTTCCCTTCTCTTTTCAATTCCCCCCCCCCCTTTTTTTATTTTCCTTCTATTTCCCTTTCCCCTTCCCCCCTCTCTCTCTAAACCTCCCCAATCCCTTTCTTTTTATGCTAACTCGTTCCCGTGGGAAAAATCAAGAAAAAATTTTCTTTCCAGAAATTGAAAAACATTTGAAAGAAATAAGAAAAAGAAAGAAAATGGAAGTCCCACGGAACGATGTTCTTGAAAATGTGCAGGGAATTCCGAGAAGACAAAATGAAGTTCCGAACAGGAGGACTCTTTCTGACTATGTCACTCCTCCTGTGGCAGAACATAACAGCATTATTCCACCAGATGTCACAGCAAACAACTTCGAAATCAAACCTGCTGTCATCCACATGGTCTCATCTGATCAGTTTGGTGGAGGACCAACGGAGGACCCACACAACCATATCACCAAATTCCTCCGAGCGTGCAATACGTTCAAAATCAATGGTGTGCCAACCGATGCAATCAGACTTCGTTTGTTCCCATTCTCTCTAAGGGACAGAGCTCAAAGCTGGCTGGATTCATTTCCAGACAATCACTTCACAACTTGGGACCAGCTTCACGGAGAATTTCTCAAAAGATTCTTCGCGCCTTCCAAAACAGCAAAAATCAGGCGGATGATACAAAATTTCAAGCAAAATCCAAATGAGCCCCTTTACGAGGCTTGGGAGAGATTCAAAGATCTT